AATAAAACCCCAAAAAGTGGGCTAAATAAATCATCAAGTGGGATTAACAACTGTCCAGTAACTCATCATCACTAAATACAGAGGCTGCGGTAGCATTTTTAGTGAAAACGTAGGAAGGTCCACACATCAAGCTCTGAACATTTTCGGTGTGTCTTATGTTGACAATAGAAGCTCATTTTGAATAGACCTATATAAAACATATGGTTTGCAAAATTGGGCAAGGGTACCGGTTAAATAAGAGACTGGGAAAATCAGGATGATAATATAATACCATGCACACTCCAAACAGATTACTAAGCAATATTGGAACAATTACGTTGGTTATTAAAAAACATCAGGAATTCCTAATGATGTTCAATAAAGAACGATATAATATCCAATCGATATGACCGTCTTTAACAAATTAAATGAAAAATTCAAAACGGTCATTTTCATCAACGAATTATTTTTATCGGGGGAAAAACACAGAAACAACGAATTACTTACCATACAGTGGAGGCAATTAATTTGAAAACCTTGAACTGGATTCAATAGGCCTAGGTCTATATCGACTTGAGTATAATAGGCTTATAATTATGAAATATTCCAGTTCATGTTAACATTATTACTGTTCAATATGCATTTTCAAATGAAAATTGTGCCCTTGTCCTAAAGCTGTTTGCTGATCTCACACCACGAACAAAACGATGTTCATTTGTGCATTTTATAACTCCGCCGGTCCAGGAGTCATTTATTTTGAAAAATATGTCCGATTCACAGTGATTTGCGAGCCCCGTCAATCACAAAATTTGAACCTCCCTCTGTACACCCACTAGTACATTTGTCGCACCCATTGTCAATTTTTTTTTTACGTTTACGTTAGTTTCTTTGCAAAAATCGTACAATAAGTTTATTTTTTCAAAATATAATTTGCCTATGATATAATCCTAGATGGAAAAGGGCGAAATCCTAAGTGTTGAATTCCCTGCCCTGGAGGCCGAATTATAGGTTTAGGCTATGGTATAAAATGACAAAACAATTACTAGAAAATGCTATTAGGATTTCTGTGTATTAGTACCACTATCACGTAAAAATATGCCTACAGAGTCCGTAGAAATGAAATATGCAATAAACTACCACCGGTGAATAATCATACAAGAGGTCTTTAATTACTCCATTATTATTATTAAACTGGTTATATGGTATACCGTAATATATTTTTTATATCATCATCGTATGCGAAATACATACATCTATACACTATGAAAATTTTAGTTTTATGCACACGATTATTTCTGTGACGTAACTTAAGTGCAGGCGGAAAATATTCATGGAATTTAATACTCGATTTAAATTTGATCTTTTCGCATTACGAAATTTCCATATCTAATCCACGTAGGCTGTGTATTATTCATACTTAAGACATTGTCGAATTCGCTTTATTTTAAACATTCATGAAGTCACGTTTTACGCTCATATGGCAAATTGATTAAGCGACTGGGGACGTTCGGAAGTGCGACAAATCAATTGGATCGCAACTGAATTTAAAACTGCACTGAATAACTAGTCGAGCACTTTTTTTTTAAGTTACCGTAAGCCAGTCCATCTGCCGGCAACCAATCATGTTTTCGAATTAAAAATGATTAGGACGGATAGTATGAGAACTGACAGCTTACACATCCAATAGAAGGCGGTATGATGCAAGTCGTAGTTAAAAGAAAATGAACTGTCATTTGAAATTAGAATTACTATACAAACATGATTGCGGTATCATTATAAACTGTATGCATGAATGTTGAAATTGAATTCTGGATGATATGGATTTTAATGCAGTGATCGCTCAAAGTGTAATCCAAGAGGAAAACATCAAAGCCAAGCAAAAGTTTTTAATGCAGTGGAATTTAATGCAATAATTAGCATTAGTAAATTAATTATGTCTAGACTTTTCCTAGGAAACATAAAAACAATTCTTTTTCATTAGCCTACAAACTCATGCAGTGAGGGATTGGTGTTAAACCTGAAGTTAATCTTTTCCGAGGGCGTCACAACACTATATTTCAGTTGATGATCTGAACCCACATGCATACCAAATTCACTCTAGATCCTTCTCTGGCCGACATAGTATACATCATATGTACT